AATCTGATTGGTTCAAATCAACAATCAAAACATGTCAATTGATTGTTGGAATACCAGTTTCGACAGATGTATGAAATTCAGAATAGTAATATAACTAGTGCAATTATTGAAAATTTTTGGAAAATTTGCCCGAATGCATATTTAGTTGAAAAAGAGCACGAGTGCACGTAGTGCACGAGTGCCTTTTTCAGTTAAAAACGCATGAGTGCAAATTTGTCGAAAATTATAAATATAAACTAAGCGGCAGATGAAGTGGGACAGCCGAAAAATTGCCTAATTTTGACTTGCTATAACGACATTTTTTTGCCGATCTTGGATTTTCAGGCAGGGTTACAAAGCGCCATCTTTGGTCTATGCGTCAGTGTCGTCGTACATTTTTTTAAAAAATTCCTTCTCGCTATACAGGGTGTGAATGTAAGGCGGCGAAAAATTTCCATTTTTTGGCGAAGAATATGGGAAAGATGGAGGGTCCAATAAAGTTCTTTCTAGTGGTGACTCGATCACTAGGTCAACACCTCGAGACGTCTTTGCCATTTTTGCGATACATTGCGTTGCTATGGAAATATGGCCATTTTATGGTATTTCGTTTTACTCTTGAAATTAGCGATTCTTTAATTAAACAATAACAGATTCGGTTTAAATTACATCATGGAATGACTTGTATAGAAAATGATCAACACCAGTGGCGTGCAAAAGGGAATTCATGAAATTAAAATAAAAAAAATCGATTTATGTAAAAATTTTAACGGTTTTGTTGAGCGTTACAGTTAAAAATGTGTTATAAATAACTGTGATGAGTTTGATTTTGATATTCAGAAGCGTTTAGTTAAAAAAAAAAAAACAGTATTTTTCATGTTATTTAATGTTAACGTGTGAACAGACCTGCCAACAGTACTGCTGCAACAGTACTGGTTCTCAAAAAAGAATAAATTCTCGTCAGGATCGACTAGTAGTACGTACTACAATTGAAAATAGAGTTTGGACTGTCAAGAGAATCCTAACGCATCTGCAGTTGAATGTTTCAGCAGACACCATTAGAAGACGCCTACATGACCAGGGATTAAATTCTCCCGTCGGGCAAAGTGTCCACTTTTTACAATCATTCGCCAGGGGAACTGAAAAAAATGGGCCCAGGAACACCTGAATTGGGATATTAAGTAGAGAGACTGTATTTTCGTTGATGTATGCCGTTCTAACTTCTACAATTCTGACGGTCGATTGTTAACCTGGCGGAGATGGGAAGAACGTTTTTTAGAAGAAAACATGCGTCCCCAAGTTGTATTTGGCGGTGGAGGATTGACAGATTGGGTCACAGAACAGAACTCGTCGTATCGTGGTATTTTGGAGCAATGTTAACGGCCAAGTGTCCCTGGATAAATGTCAGATTCCGCTAGTTCTCCGGCATGCTCGAAATTATGGCGGGGATTTTGTTCTTTCAGACGATAATGCTCAGCATCATCGAGCATTATTAGTGAACCGGTATCTGGAAGGGCAAAAATTCAATCGTACCGAATCGCCTCCTAAACCCTCAGACATGAATCCAATTGAGCACGTCTGGAGTTGAATAAAGTTAGAGCTTTCCCGGGGAGAAGGGAGAACGTCAGCCAGAAGCTCTAGACGATCTCGAGGAGATGATTCTGAAGCTCTGGGAGTCAGTTACTATAGAGCTAAACAACCGAATAATTTCGAGCGTGCCAAGGCGGTGTCACGCAGTTATTCAGGCTAGAGGAGAACCAAAATGACACCATATCAGAGTTATTTATAACACCTTTTACAAGTTTTACACCCATATGCACCATATGGACTTAGGAGTTTATTCTCGCTTAGTTCGAAAATTTGCATATAAAAGAGAAGTCCTAACCTGGTTTCAGCAACTAATCTGAATTAAGTCCTTATGGTGCATTTGGGCGTTAAATTTTAAAGACAGAACTTAATAACTTCAGATAAAATCGATTTTTTTTATTTTAATTTCATAAACCCCCTTTTGCACGCCACTGGTGTTAACCATTTTCTATACAAGTCATTCCATGATGCAATTTAAACGGAATCTGTTATTGTTTAATTAAAGAATCGCTAATTTCAAGAGTAAAACGAAATACCATAAAATGGCCATATTTCCATAGCAACGCAATGTATCGAAAAAATGACAAAGACGTCTCGAGGTGTTGACCAAGTGATCGAGTCACCACTAGAAAGAACTTTATTGGACCCTCCATCTTTCCCATATTCTTCGCCAGAAAATGAAAATTTTTCGCCGCCTTACATTCATTCACACCCTGTATAGCGAGAAGGAATTTTTTAAAAAAATGTACGACGACACTGAGGCATAGACCAAAGATGGCGCTTTGTAACCCTGCCTGATAATCCAAGATCGGCAAAGAAATGTCGAAGTTATAGCAAGTCAAAATTAGGCAATTTTTCGGGTGTCCCACTTCATCTGCCGCTTAGTTTATTTCCATTGCACGAGTTGTATTTAATGAGAGAATTTCATAAATCAAAAATTCAAATTTTTTGTCAAAAAATGTCAAAACACCAGTTTTCGCACCAGTTAGTATGCAATTATCTGATAATTTGCACTAGTGCAAATTATCGCGTAATTACAATCTGATTGGTTCAAATCAACAATCAAAACATGTCAATTGATTGTTGGAATACCAGTTTTGACAGATGTATGAAATTCTCAATTTAATTTTTCATGCAAGGAGCCTATTCAACATTGGCCTCTGTTACATTTGTCAGGACCAAATCCAGTGTGTTGCCTAGAACTTTGCTAGAAGATTTTTTATATTATTCAGGAAATACAAATCATAAACCGAGCCATAAACATATAAAAAATTGAGTACCATTGATTGTGACACAAATGCATTGAAAATCTAGTCTCTACTCTTAGCTATTAACTCCGGCCTATATTTTGCATTCACACAACACATGACACCTCCACCTAGACTCACATCGCAGTGGGAATAATTTTTACCATTTCTAAATATCACATTTTTATTATCACAGATTTCATTATCGTGGAACGAGCTATTCAACCATGTTTTACTTATGCAGGTAGCTTCCCAGTCCTCTTCAGTTATGCTTCCATATACAGGGTGTTCCAAATTATTGTGCCAAAAATTAATATGATCAGGATTTAACTAGAAATCCAATTGATCATTCATTTGTGGGCCCATATAGAGAATTAATTGGATTTCTGATATGTGGTGCCATTGTATCAAGGGCAGATAATTATTGCTTATGCGGTGGGAATCAAGCGCGGATCCAGGAAGGGGCCATGGGGCCCATGATCCCCCCCGGCCCCCCCCCCCTAGATAAGAAAAAATAATTTTAAAAATCAACATTAAATTGACCAATTTTTCCGGGTTTACCAGAGTCCGTGTATAACAGAATTTTATTTCATAGTGTCATTTTATCACGGACCTCTAGCCTATTCTATTTGTATGTACAGGGTGTCTGGTTATAATTTGATACCTCACCTGCAGCCTTTACCTTTACAGGTAGATGATAGTTGTGCAATTTTACCTAAATTTTTAGAATCCGTCGTCAAAAATAAAGTTTATCGTAAGCGGACCTCGCAAAAAAGTAGTACAACAAAAATCTCCAGAATCTGCTGCTACATTAATTTAATTCATAACCAAGAATGACATATTTTTGGCATTTTTCGACAAGTTTTCAACCTTCAAAGCTTCAGATGACATTACTTTGGCATTTTTCCACCCGTTTTTAACCTTAGCATATGTCATTGCCTGAACTCAACATATTTTGAAATATTTATTTTTTGTCAAAATTGTATGTGATCCCGGCCCTGTATCTCCGAAACTAATCATAGGATCTTCTTGGGCCTACGAGAACTTACGTTCAGGAGGTCGAGAAGCATAACATATTTTAATTTCATGACAATCGTGAAATTTATTTTTTCTCATAAGATCCGTGCGTGGTCCTTTGAAATTTTGCGTACTTTCAACTTTTTTAAATGATATGCCCTATATTTGCTTCTAATATATAGTTTGTCTATATTTCTTTGAGCCGCCTTCAACATATTTGGCTCTAAAAATTGGAAAAATACTATCCTACTGACGATTTTGTGAACTATTCTGATGAAAGCTTCAGGTAAAGCATGCGGTAAAATTTGAGGCACTTGGTTTCTCTGATATTTTTTTTTTTAATTTTTGAAGCCAAATATGGTGGAGACGGCTCAACTAAATATAGAGAAACTATATATTTTTGGAATCGGAAAATTACGCTCTTCAAGAATATAGAATCAAATATAGGGCATTCTATTTGGAAAAAGTTGAAAGTAGGTACGCAAAATTCCAAATTTCTGACAACAATTTAGCTAAAACTTCTCCACTTTTGTGTAAACCCCTATCATCTACAGGTGGAGTGTCAAATTAGGTCTGTTTCTGCAGAAATCACAAACCAGTCAGAGTGAATTGAATTTCATTGGTTGAAACTAGTTTTCTGACTGTTTTCAACCAATGACATTCGCTCTGACTGGTTTGTGATTTCTGCAGAAACAGACCTATTATAACCAGACACCCGTACCTTCCAATATTTTGTATGCCCCCCTCCTTAATTTGGGTCTGGATCCGCGCCTGGTGGGAATTGTGACATTTTTGAACAATAGAACAAATGCACAATAGAATGCTGTGAAAAGAATACTGAAGTACTTATTTGAAACAAACATCAAGCCATGGTATTACCAAAGTTGTGAAACTGAGCGAAAGTATGTTAATACGAAATTTCAAGAAGCTGATATTCTCACTGTGAACGTTTTCAAAACCTAAGGTACAAGATGGACTGCAAAATTTCCATTGAAAGAATACTCAAAACTTCTCCCTCTCTCTCCTGGAAACGCCATTGGGGACAAAAAAAAAACGAAAATCTAAATCTGACTCATCAGTTTTAAACTCACTCTTTTTTAGCCACACATTAATTCTTTCAATATCTAAAACATTATACCATTTATTATTATTACGACACATTTTTGTTTAAAGTTCCTTTACTCCACGTCCTGGCTGTCCATGCACGCGTCGCACGCAGTATAGCCAGCTGGCCCGCCTGGATGTCTTTCATTCAACTGTGTGGCCTGCCAGCCAAAGAACAAGTCTCATTGATACCGATGGAACGAGAAGTACCTCTTTTACTTAAGGATCCTATAGCGTTACTATTGCAATTTGTTTTATTGTTGCCTTTACATTTAGATCAAAGTAAGTATAGAATGATGATCAGTCACATGCAAACATAAACGAATAACTTCTTTCTTTAGCTTATTTTACGACTACCGTCAAAATGGTTTACAATCTTCTCTATTACCAAGTGGTAGCGCAAATATCATGTGGTCTAACCAGTGCGGAAAGGAACAGAGCCGCCAAAGAAGCTAGTAGTTGGGCGATCAGTAATATTTGTGACTCTCTGGGGTTGATCGACGAATGTTTAGGTCATACAGACTTATATATGGACGATGAAGATGATGGCAGCGAATCTGCCTCTTCATCTGAGGAAGATCCGAGGGAAAAATTAAATGTTGTTGCCTTGGAACAACAGGTAGGAATTATTAATACTTTGAAGGAACAAAAAATGTTCTTAGAATTGTTCTAAGCAGCATACAAACATTAAATGCTTAGATAGTTCTAAAATAATTGTAAGAATAAACAGATATTCAATTATTGATTTTTCTCTTCTAGATCCAAAAGTTGTGCCTGCCTTTCCTCAGAATAGCGTCCCTATTGAAATTTCACATCTACCAACAACCCCTTCCAGATATTAGGAAGCCACAGAACGAGTACGTTCGATTGGTGTACTATTTGGAACTAGTTACAGAGTCTATGGACTGGGACTGTTTCAATGCTAGCGTGGCGCTCAATTGGCCACAAGGCACAGATATATTCAGGTAAGAATCTGAAATGAAAACACCTAAACCGGCTTTTTTTACAAATCACCGTGTATATGGGATACTAATAGAAATTTGGTAACAACCAAATAGCTATTTACCTAACAAGTGCGGAAAATGAATTTTTCCGCACACGCGGCTGCCGAGTGCGGAAAAATTCATTTTCCGCAAGTGTTAGGTACAATATTTTTTCTACAGGCGAAAAAATGTAAAATTTTTCTTTTTTTTTTTGACATATCAGTGCGGTAAAATTTATATGTCAAACATGTCAAAAAAAAAAGTTTTTACCGCACCGTGCGCGAAAACTCATTTTCCGCACGCATATCATTGCGGAAAATCGATTTTTCCGCACGGCTGTGGAAAATATATTTTTCCGCACGGCTGTGGAAAATATATTTTCAATAAACTTCGAAAACTCTTACCATTTTTGATATAGGAATCAGTGGCGTAGTGACGATGCTCCGGGCCCGTGTTCAAAAATTTTTCCCGGCCCCTACTCCTGGGAGATAAAAAAAATTGAAAAATCAAAGAAATATATTTTTTCTACTACCGTGCGTAAAGTACTCACTTTACACACTATTTAGAAGATGTAAAATTTCACTTCACACACTAGTGCGTAAAGTAATTCACTTCACACACTAGTGCGTAAAGTAATGTCAATGACAGATGTCAACACTTTCAATTTGGCATCTTTCTGGTAAATTACTTCACGCACTAGTGCGTAAAGTGAAAATTCTTCACGCATATTTGATTGGTAGTAGAAAAAAATTTGTATGCAATACGTGCGTAAAGCACCTTTTTTCACTCATGTGATTGTCAAAATTCACATTCGTGAAAAAAGGTTCACTTTACACACTTGTTGCATAAATAACTATTTTTTTTTTCTAAATATACAGGGTGAACGAAAGTATAGAACATATTCAATATAAAATAGATGAAGGCGTTTTGGAAAAACTGCTCGGGCACGTCAATTTTTTGCGTGAGATTTTTTCACACCAATTTTTTTATACGCAGGTGGTTCCAAGAACAGCTGAACCGTACCGTTATCAACTTTATTTTTATTAAATCGTACTCAAATGTGTAAAATGCAATTTTTTTTTTTACTTAAGTCTAGTACTCATAACTGCGAAATTCGCATTTTCTTGACATTGCTTCGACAATTTGACGTTTGATACACGCATAAAACGTCAAATTGCCAACGCAATGTCAAAGAAATGCGAATTTCGCAGTTATGAGTAGTACTAGGCTTTACTAGGGAAAAAATAATATTGACATTATTGACATCTAGAACCGGGCCCCTTGAGGTACCGGGCCCGTGTTCCATGGAACACGCGGAACACCGGTGACTACGCCCCTGATAGGAATCAATGGTGGCTCATGTTATTTTTGACACCCTGTATATTTAAAAGCACAGCTAATTCATTTTTTTTTGTAGATCTTTGCCCCAATCTTGGTGCGTAGAGTTTGCCTCATTCGTCACAAAGAGTCAAATAGCGGCCCGCTCGTTCTTAGTCGACCAACCAATAGTTTGGCATCCGCCAAGATTACTAGCCCTGCCTAGAGAATACGAAAAAATATTCACTGTAAGTTCATGAAATTCCTTCATAAATTTATCATTATAACTTTACATATTCGTTTTAGTACTACCACGAAAGACCTTGCAACCAATGCCATTCGGTCGCGACAGAAACCAGTATATGTCTGTTATGCGGTACCATAGTGTGTCTGAAACAGAACTGTTGCAAACAGCAAAATGTATGCGAGGCGGTGGCGCACGCCCAAGAATGCGGAGCTGGAACCGGAGTGTTTCTTGTCGTCACTTCGACCTACATCATAGTTATAAGGGGGCACAGAGCGTGTCTTTGGGGCTCCCTGTACCTAGATGACTTTGAGGAGGAGGACAGAGACTTGAAGTAAGTATTGTTAACATGTATTTATTCAAAAGTTACACCTCGGATTTATTGTGAAAGAAATGTGAACTACAAAAATGTATGCCTACAACATTTTGGTCACTTCGCATCTCGCTTCGCATTTAGACAACCAGGGAATCTACTCAAATTTGACTTGACATCTATACAATAACTGCTTGGATAATTTGATGAACGTCCAATGCAAGCTTCTTGTTATCCATGCCTCATAACATTTCATTATAAAAAGTCTGCAAACAAATGACTCCATTATAAGATCTGCCAAAGCTGCTTATCGATTTCGCGAGGCAGGCTTGCGCGTCAAAAACTCTTGTCCGAGCGCGCCAATATTTGAGTTGGCTCGCCCGGCAAGCCAGTATCCATTAGGCGCGGCTGCCGCGTGAGCAAATGTTTGATAGTTTGCAGCGGGTAATCGATAAGCAGCTTAGCTCCTACGTACCATCGTCACCAAAAGTATCTGGGACAGTAATAATGCATAATAATCTCCTGGACTAATTCTACTGTCATTCATTTCAATGCATTCAATAATAGTTTGACAAATATTTGACAATAAAATTCATACAATAGTACAAGAGCTGATATGATGCTGTCCCAGTTACTTTTGGTGACGATGGTACATGAACATTTTAGACTTTCTCTTACATTCCAGTATAAATTCTGAATGAATTGATCTTTGCACGCCCAAAAAGCTATTCCATATATCACATGTGTCTCAAATAATGAAAAGTGTGTCTGTCTGGCTGCTGATTTGTCAAGTACATGAGAAATGGTTCTAATGTATAGCAGACACGCGCTAATTTTTTTGTCAAGCATTTAATGTGAAGCTTCAAACTTCAACTGGGAATCAATGTGCAGACCCAAAAACTTGACCGTGGTTCTATTCTCTAATGTTTCGTCCTGTAGTCTGATGTCAGTTAGAGCACACTTGAATGTCAGTATATTTGTTTTTTGTATATTGAAGCAAAGCCTATTGGCATCACACCATCCTTTAATCTCCAAAAGATCGCTCTCTATAACTGCCTTGAAGTTAGTTAGATTTTCTTTTGTAGTCCATAATGCACTTGTGTCGTCGGCAAATGCTACCAGCCTTGCAGATACTGGCAGGGGAAACAAGTCATGTATGTAGATAGGGAACAGAATCGGCCCCAAAAACAAATCCTGTGGCACTCCGTGCAATATTCGCTCTGCACCCGAATCAATACCATCCGACCGAAAAAAACTGTTTTCTCTCTAAAAGCATTGATGGTAAACCAGCCCCACTCAGTCCGCAGAACACCATAATGACCCAGTTTCCGCAGCAATATTCTATGGTTAACTGTATCAAAAGCTTTTAAAAAATCACGGAACACTGCTGCTGCCACCTTCCTCTCATTAAAACCAAGATACAAATCCTCCAACAAATGAACAGATGGCATCACCTGTGCCCCCCTGGTCTCCCTAAAGCCAAATCTATTTTGACTCAAATCAAATCAAATCAAAAAATGCTTTATTGTACAAAAAGGCCTTAAGACCCTTATTTACAAAGCTAAAATGGAAATAATACAAAAATAATACAAAAATATTATAAGGAGACACTGAAAGGTAATGTTACATGTTCAAATACTAAGAACTAATAAAGACAATCAAGATAAAAACATCAAAAACCACCAAAAACTGCTACTTAAAATTTCATTCACAAATCCAGTCAAGTCCTTATATATGGCACATACAAATAAAAAATAAAAAAGCGAACAAACAAAAATAAAGACTGAAACACTTTTTAAGTTGCAGTATAGACGTCATAATTCATACAATCATTAAAGCTAGAGCCTTTCGCCATAAAATTCTTCCAGAGAATAATATGCTTTTGAAAGCAGAAACTGTTTCACCTTTCTAGCAAAAAGGACACTATTGTCTAGATATTTGATCTCAAGAGGCAGGTGGTTATACATCTTTTTCCCCTCATATAATATTGAGTTTTTTGTTAATGTACTCCTTGGGATGCACAGACTTAGATTGTTGCTGTTGAACCTAGTTGTCCTGGTGTCATTATTATTATCTGATCCTCTATATTTTTTGTGAACCATGCCCACCGTCAGTAAAATAAAAATACAGGTCAATGTAAGAATTCCCTCCCGGATAAACAGAGGCCGGCAGTGTTCCCTAGAGCCGACTCCACACAACAGACGAACAGCCCGTTTTTGTTAAACAAAAACTGAATTAACTAGTTGACCACTGGCAAAACCCCAAAATTCAATGCCATATCTGAGTCGTGACTCAACAAGTGCAAAGTACACACCCCTTGCAATGTCATGACCCAATTCATACGAACCGTCCTTAACGCATAACAAGCTGGAGCTAGTTTTTTTCGCAGGTCATTGATATGTTCACCAAACTTCAACTTAGAGTCTATAGATAAGCCCAAGAACCTGGAACACTCCCTATCAGCAAGTGGCTCATCATTTAAACTTATATTTGCCACAGAACACTTAAAGGAAAGTAAATTTGTTTTTGATATGTTAAAAGATAGTTTATTGGAGTCACACCACTGCTTTACCTTGCGAATATCTTGCCCGATCCTATCCTCCAAGGTGACTTTGTCTGATCCCAGCATTCCCAGCCATAAGATGGTAGTATCATCAGCAAATAGTGTAATTGATGCATCAATGTTGATGCAAGCTAGATGATTAATGTAAATTAAAAAGAGCAGGGGACCAAGCACTGATCCTTGGGGCACCCCATGCTCAATACTCCGTTCCGATGATACATCGTTGTGGCCCTTAACAATCTGTTTTCTGTCTGTCAGATAAGACTGTATCCAGCTCAAAGTGTTACCCCTGAATCCATAATGAAAGAGTTTCTGGAGTAATATCTTACGGCTTACACAATCGAAAGCTTTGGAAAAATCGCAAAAGACCGCAGCCGCGATCTTCCCCTGATTCAGTCCAAGATACAGCCTCTGAAGAAAGTTGAACACTGCATCACTAGTGCTCTTCTTGTCCTGAAATCCAAACTGGTTGACATTCAACACCCGTAAGCCCGAAGAAAAGAGACCATCCTAGACTTAACAAGTTTTTCTATTATCTTGGAGAGTGTTGGCAGCAGAGATATAGGGCGGTAACATGATGGATCGTCGGTGCTACCGCCTCAGGATGTTATGTTCAATTCAAGTATTCAAGCAGTTGTTCCTTAACAATTTTTTCCATGATCTTGGAAACCGAATCAAATCAAAATATACTTAATGTTCAAAATACATGGTATTCATTATCAAAGCCACAACCCTACAAAGCCTTACAACTAATTACTAATCAAAATTACAGTCGAATTCAATTTAAAACTAAGCCATATAAAAATAATAATGTCAAGGACAAAAACGCGACAATTTATGCAATTTGCAGCATCGCAGATCTGTGGGCGATTTATCTCTCTTCTACAGGTACTATCACGGAAAATGCTCTGAAGAGTTGGCACGTATGATTCCACCGAGAGTAGCACCTACCAGGCGAACCCGTCAAACAGACGGTAACCATGAATTTACTGTCAAACTAGAGGCACCAAGAACCTCATTATATCAGAATTCATATCTCTGGAGAACAGCATCGCTGTGGAATAAACTCCCTGCGACGGTTTTCCCTGCAGGTTACAACCTGAACCGTTTCAAGACCAACATACACCGACATTTCCGCGCACTTGCCGCTTCTCGAGCGTGATAGGACATTTCCTTGCAAGTGCGCATATCCGTAAAAAAAAAAAAAAAAAAAAAAAAAAAAAAAAATTAAAATGTGTCCTGAAAGTACTCTTCTACCGAATAGTATGCTCAAGCTAGCAATATTTTTTTCACCGCGCTCTTGAACCTCCTGTCAGACTGTAACACGCGAAGGTCAAGTGGTAGGTGATTGAATATTTTTTTTGAAATCGAATACCAGAGATTTCTGAACTAGGGTGGAAAAGTTTGTCTTGTTTTGTTGCATGAGTTGTTCTGACCATTGCCTATGCTGTGTCGATGCTTCCTTTACATCAAACACGCCGTTTCTAAAATAAAGATACAGGACAGGTATGCTTTTTGATCTGAATAATGGACGACAGGAATCACGATAGCCCACTCCTGCGATGAAATAAATTGCTCTCTTTTGCAGAATAAATACAGATTGAAACAAGGTTTGGTTGCAATTATCCCAGAAAGAGACTGCATATCTCATATAAGACTCGATGAGAGCAAACTATACACTCTTTGCAGAAGAGGCGTCTAGCTGTCTGGAGACAATCCTTAGCGCGAGGCAAGTCTACCGCAAAGAGCAGAAACATGCTCACGAAATGACAATACTCTTATTAATATGCAACCCTAAAAATTTAGAGCACTTCAGACTCAGAAACCACATGTTGCCCTATCTCAACAGCACTAAGTAGGTACTAAGTGTAGGTACCTTTAAAAGTAAGAATATTGGGTTTCCTAATGTAAAAAGAGAGCAAGTTAGAGCTACAACACTGTCTCACCCTCTCAACGTCATCCTCAATAATTTCATTCATCCGACACGAATTCCTTGTATGCCATAGTATAGTGGTGTCATCAGCAAACAAAGTGAATTTGCCATTAATATCCATTGAGGTTAGGTCGTTGATATACTACAAAAAGAGGATTGGGCTCAAGACTGAGTCCTGGGGCACGCCACATGCGATTTTCTCGGTAGTGGTAGTCAGGTAGTGTAGTGTTCCGTAAGCAAAACCAAACTTTGATAGCTTTGGCTGTCAAGTAATAGTGACAATTCATCCACCTTGTTACGCAGTGACTGTGTGTTACGCAGCATTACCGACAGCAGTCCGTCCCCCGTAGTTCAACTGTGGGTTTTATTAGGACTATTCATCTTGTACAAGTTGGAACTCTTTGGTGCTTGGCAAAAAAAGGCTCAGATGGTGGAGCCGCTAAGTTAGTCTTTTCATCATGTGAAATTATGCCGAAATCCGCATTCAAATTGCTGCAAAACACACTGTTTCGGCTGAGAATGTCG